TACGATCTCTAATAGAAATGTTAAACAAATTTAGTATGAATTCAAAGCTTCTCAGTGATTAAGATTTTTAAGAGTTGGGTTTCGATTTTCCTTCAACTGCTAGCGCTAACGTTGACGAAACTAAAATACTTCCATTCTTTTGGAAATAATTTTTTAAAAAATAATTTTTAAATTACTTTTAAATTAATTGCGAGCAGATTTTATACTTTAATAAATCTTACTCAAGCATAGTGTAAAACAGTAAATGAAACAAATAAAAACTGATAAGGAATCACACAATAATCATCATCCATCGTTTTGTTCTGTTGATGAGCAAAATAAGCAAAGAAATGAATATAATTGAATAATAAATAGAGAGAAAGAAAGCTGCTACACAGTGAAAGAAAGAAAATGAAATTTTTCGGAATCTCGTTAAAAAATTGTAGACAAACCGAAGAAAATTAAATAATATGTGGGTAAAAAAAAGTACTATAATAAAACTTTTATTTTGTAAGTACATCTTACAGCTATTGTTTTATTAATTTAAAGAATATTTAATATTGACAAAGGTGCAGAGATCTTTTGTACGTTATTCTTAAGTGATTGTGTATGGATTTCACGGAAAAAAAAAATTGTTGAGAAAAGTAAGCAGTGTTATGTTTTTTCAAGGTATTTATATATAGTCAAGTTTATATGTAGTAGTTAAAGACATTTCTTTTTCTTCTTCTTTCTGTCTTTCTACAAATAATAGGAATGAATAAAAAAAAGAAAAAAAAAAAATGAAAAAAAAATGAAAAGAAAAGAAAAGAAAAAGGCAAAAACAAGTAAAACAATTGTATTCGCTTCAGATGATAATTTAGACACCAGCCATCTATCTATCTATTTATAGTTGAGTAACAGTCAAAGAGCACTACAAGACATTTCTGTTTGGTGTACTTTCTTCTGTTCAGGATTATTGTACGTATTTCTCATATACTCATCTATGGTCGTTATATAACAGATAGAAAGGCAGTCTCCGTTATAAAGCATGCTTGTCAAGCTTCTTATTTTATTAGGCGATCAGTTTTTGAAACCCCATGGAGTTTTTCGATTCATTTCCCGCCATTTTGAATAATAGGGAAATGTAAGGAAAAATATTGAAATCATTGAAATCAATAAACAATTGCTCTGAAATTTCTATTAAATTCGACAATTTATCTCTTAATGCGAGAGAGAGAGTTTACTATTAATGGAGGGCAATAAGCAAGAGTTTCTCTGTAGGCAGGAGGCTCGAAACTTGGTGGAACCAATGCTGTTTTCTTAGAGACCGTAGGAAATGTGCTTAACAGAGTTAAGCCGAGCGGAGTCAAATCCTGGAAATGTAGGAGCGATTTTTTTTGTGGGCAAATGTTCCATTGAAATATCTATTAATGGAGGAAAGTTTACCATAGGTTGTGGAGAGTAAGAAATATTCTCTCTAATAAGGGAACTTAGAAGTTCATGGAATCAAAGCTGTTTTCTTAGAAAACCTTATGAACGGGCCAACCCAGTTGTTTGAATTCAAATCGTAGAAAGGTAGAGAAAGTTTCTTGCAAACAAATGTTTTATTAAAGTCAATAAACAATTGCTTTAAAATTGCTATTAAATCTGACAATTAATCTTTTCATGGGATAATTAACAAAAAAAAAAAAAAAAGAAAACAGTTTCTCTAGCAAGAAACCTCGAAAGAAAATGGAAATGTTGCTATTTTTGTAGGCAACATGTTAAGTGGATTCAAACTGAAGACAACAAATCGTTTTATTATTTTTTTATTTATTTATATTCGATAGAAATTGTGCATTATTTACATTTACCATCTCATACGACGAACCTCAATAGGATATGAGGAACACATTTTACTTTCCTGGTGAAAACTTTACCTTAAGTCCAACCAATCGTCAGTACATATCCGATATAAGGAACACATTTTACTTTCCTGGTGAAAACTTTACCTTAAGCCCAACCAATCGTCAGTACATATCCCCCTATAGCTTAGAAATTTATTCTTTACCAATCCACGTTCCAAAGGGCATAAAGCTGCTTGAGAGTATTTCAAATTTATCTTTTATGAAAACTCCTCTGCCTACTTTTGTTACAAAAAATGTAATAAACTTATCACCATATCGTCGTGTAGTAAATAGAAAAATATTAAATTAAAACAAATCTTTAATGATGTAAACTATAGCTTCTTGCTTACAAAAGGTGATCACATGGTCAAAACATCATGATAAGAGGATTGTCTTCATGTTCAAGCGTAAAGTATTCTTAAGAAATTTGTAGTTTTTTTTGTTTCTTCATTGAAGGTTAAATGCGAGGTACATATCTAAATAAAAAAAAAAAAAACACCATACTTGACCTCCTAAGGATTAAACATTTCTTATTCTACTTAATACATTTAATTTAAAATTTTTGGAAGGAAAGGAAAGGTCTCTCTCTCTCTCTCTCACTCTCTCTCTCTCTCTGTTGATATATAAATATTAGGTAGGTTATTTGGTACACAGTCGGCTATTGAAAAGTGTATGTACAATGTAATTTAATTTATGTACAATGTAATTCAATTATAAGAGGATTTTTTTTTTTTATATTTGGTTAGAACTATAAAATCCTAAAATTGAAAGATTAAAAACACTTTTCATTTATAAAATTTTTAAAAAAATTTATATAATTAAATTTCCTAATAATATATTAAAAAACAGTATTAAAAGTACCGGTAAGTCCTATAATAATTTAAAAACAAGTAAAAACACTATAATGAATCGCGATCAAACATTAATCACATCAATCTACAGTTATTCATATAATGACTTTTCAAAATAATGCAAAGTCGAAATAGTGCTTCGATCCGATCGATTCAATAGCTTTCGTCCGTGGACCAAAACACGTCGTCGCAATGTCGCAGAAATTGCTACCTTTAGGTTGAACACAAGATACCAAGATAGACAAACGGCCAAAATTGATTAAGAAAGTGATGCTAAATCGATTGGTAATAGAAATTGAATATCAAATTTTATCAAAATACTTCAAAAATTTGGGATCTGTATGTTGTATGCATGCAAGAAAACAAGACAGCCAGACGCACAGACAGACGCTCAGCATCAATTCAGAACAAGTATGCTCTAAATCGGTCGATATAATAAAGGATAGGGTCCATCTCAAGTCATCTGACTGTGGCATACAACCCTACAAACTTAATATACCCTTGTACCACGAGCGCTGTACGGTATAAACATATGATATGGTTTCCCGCACAAATATAAGTTTTTTTATACTGATTTCACTTTATTGACTTTTAAAAGTTAATAAATTCTCGAGATACCATATATTGACAGCTACACCGCATTTTACTTTATTATTATGCATGCAAGCTTAGTTACGAATAACTAGAGTTGACCTCTATCTCATGGCACATACCTAGTAAGAAAGTATTGAGAAAAGAGAGAAAAAATATCGCTTTGTTAAGATAATTATCCTTTACCAATCTCCTTGAGATACTAGCATAACAAAAAATTCTGAAATATTTGACACATGTTTAAGGACGCAGTAAATATTTATTGAAAATTTATGCTATTTTTGGGGATTTCATGCAACGACAAAAGCCATCTATTAATGGGATTGTACGAAAGCATATGACACATATTTGTGTGCTTTACTTTCTTCATTCGTATAAACTAACATTGACCTGGTTTGCTTGCGTAGGTAAGTCCTCCCACCCCCTTTCTTATAAGTTCAGTTTTGCCAAGTCTCCTATACGGGATCTTGACTACCGTTAATGAAGTTACGACTTATCTTAATTTTGTATGAAAATTTTAGGGAGAAGTGCATTAGTTCCAGTTTAGGGTTTTTTATTAGGGTCCGGAGGAATAAGGTGCAGAATTGAAACAGAGTGAGCGAGATAATGAAGCAAATTTGGTGATTGTGACATCATCCCTCTCAGAATCAAGTTACGATACAGTCCCTTGAAAAACTCAATAGTACGAGATATCCTTTGACGACGACGATAACATGCAACGTTCTACGAAAGCGTATTGACAGAGCCATTCTAAAACTCTTACGCTTAATATGTAAAACTGAATGAAAATGACAACCACGGATATGAAGCTTCATGAGTTAAAATTTTTTCCACATTACTTTTTCACAAAAAGTTTATTCAAACAGGTCCTATTTTGCCGAAATATGTGACTCAGTTTTTTTTTTTATTGAATGAAATTAAAATACTTTCAACTGACGAATACACGTACATAGCACATATTGGAATGGTTGTACTTCAAGTGTATCTCAAATGTAAATGTGTGTGTATGTGTGTGTGTGTGATATGTTATGAGTGTCATATTCATTTTGTCAAAACGCTTGCAACGCCCCGAGGGAAGCTTCAGGGACCCCACAAAATGCATATATTGTTGACCAGAATCAAATTCTGAATTGATCTAAGCATATGTGTCTGTCCATCTGTCCGTCTGTGTAATGTCGCTCCAAATCGGCTTCAAATTTGGCAGAGACATTAAAAGTTCCTGCACGCACCACACCAATATACATAGTGCCGTAGCACGTAGACTGGGAACACATCTGTTTTTGCAAAAGGAGTAAAAAATGGGTTTTTTGCTTATTACTCATTAACTACAGTTGAACGTGTATTCTACGGGTGATGCTGTAGTAACTGTAAAAAAATAAAAAAAAATGACCACGCCTATTCAATATTATAGTATATCAATATTTAATTTTTTTAACTCCATAAAACTGTACATTTTGTTCATCCGTTCGTCCGTCTGCCTACATAGTATCTGCGATGAATATTGCCCCAATCGTAAAAGTGAAGACATCGCCCACAAATTTGCAAAAGATTTTGAAAATAACCTAAATAGGTCAAAGAACACGCCTACAAATTTATATCATCAAGATTAAGAATACGTGTGCTCTCCGTGTCTTTTTCTCATTGCTGATAAACTGATAAAATAGAAAGAAAAATAGCCACGCCCACCCAATATTATGGAGCATACAAATTTATTTTTTCCTTCTTCCCCCTCCTTTTATAAGATAGCGATAATGGGTGTAAAAGATGCGTTCGCAACCATAAACAATTTTCTTAGTTGTTTTTTTTTAACTAAATGCCTTACGAGTTTTCCAACGACCAAGTATACGTTACATATTATTAAAAGGATAAATAGACTTTATTGCTTGCAATGTATATTGCATGTGTATGTCGAAAACTCAATTTTACTATTTGATCAATTCAAATCAATTTATATATATATATATATATATGTATATATTGACTGACTGAGCCTTTCATTTACTTTTTACAGTTGTCGCATACGTGATTTGTTACGCAGTAATGGACAATTACCTGAAGGCATTGATACATTACGTTTACCGAGACGTTTACAGCGCTATATTGATTTAATGGAAGAAATTGAAGGACCTGAAACGAGCAACGATGACGGCAACGACGACGTCAAGGACTTGGTTAAACAGGTTGCTATGCGAAAACCAAAAAAACCATTAAAATACTCTGCCAACAACCTTGCTTCTGTAGGAGACAATCAAAATGTTACTGCACCCGTTATAACTATCACAAGTGCCGAGAGAGATGTTGATAGTATGGATGGAAATAATGACAGCAGCCATAACCGTAATAGCAGTAATAGCAGCAGCAATACTGGTAGTAGTAGTAGTAGCAGTAACAGTAATGGTAGGGTTAGCAATGTGTGTGTAACGGAAGGGGAAAATACAGCGGGCACAGTTTTGGATAAGCCATTGGAAATTTGAGTAACAAAGGGCAAAGTTGTTTTTCCATTTACTTATTATTATTCTTTAATATTATCAGCGCCTCGTCAAAGTTTTTCTCTAACCAGACCGAGAACAATTAAATTGAATGGTAAAATATTGAAGTTCTAGCAGTAATAGTGGTAGTAGTAGTAGTAGTAGTAATAGTAGTAGTAGTAGTAACAGCAATAGTATATTTTTGGTTTATTAAGTGGGGGGGCCGTGGGGGCGTGTAGGTTTCTAGTAAATTGGAGAGATTTGAAATATTTTGGTTTTACTTACTTGTACGTAACTTCACTGACATTTATCCGCCCGGGTATGCCAGTTGTCTCAGTACGGCTGGTCAAATTTACAGTGTTACCGAATAAACAATAGCGTGGCACACGATTGCCAATAACACCGGTTACAACTTCACCAGAATGTATTCCAATTGTAATTTGCTAAAAGTAAATATTTTTAGAAAAATATATAAAATTTATTAATAAAATTTATCTATTTTTACTTATGTATAACACGTATTGAATTTGTTTTCAATTCACTGTAATTTACTTAAATTACAATTAAATATGAAAATAATTTTTTTTATATATATATATATATATATATATACTATTTCGTATCGATTCCAAGTATTTTAATAACATTGAAATGCTTTTACAAATAATTTTATATTCAAGAGCACTTTTCAACGAAGCTTTATAGACACAGAACAGAACAAAGTCTCTTGATTTTTTCATTACTCGCTATTATAGGATAGAGGTATATGCGATTCATCAATGTGATTGCAATAGGCCGGAATCTGTATGAAAATTTCCATAAAGCGTAAATATACACAAACAACAATTAATAAGATTCGGAGTGTTTTTAGTGCTTTTTAGCTTTATAAGAAGTTTGTGTGAGAAACTATTCCGATTATTAAATTGAAGTAGAAAAAGCTCAGACGGTCTATGTAGAGTGTTACAGATTAAGTTCTATAAGGATCCGTCCTTTCAAGAACGAAAAAACGATGATCAGCTGAGGTATACTCTTACCCAGTTTTAATGGATGCGCTCATATTATCATTGATAACATTGTAACTGAACTTATTCCGAAGTTTTAACCAGCCCTGTAAAGTATAGGTTTCACCCCTGATATAAATTACGTCCCTATGTTTTATGTAAAATTCATATTTCCAATGCCTGAGAGCTGTTTGTTGTAGATTTATTGTTTTCATATCTCTCTACATTAATATATAGAAGCTTTTGCAATTGATATAAATTTATTTGCATAACACCTTTGATCTTGAACATATTTACAAGCATCAATGGGCGGATAAATTACTATTATATCGCCCTACTGTAATGACATAAAAGCGCTTATGTGATTCGAATATTGCTTTCGCTTATCGTTTACGATATGACAGGAGCAATGTCGCCTTATAACTTGGAGGCCTTGATAGATGCTTTTTCATCTGAAGTTACTCTACAACATAATAAGAATTCAGAAGAAGAGATTAAAAATTCAACAAATTCTTATACCCGACACCGGTTGTGATGCAAAGGCATACCAAAAATTTGTACGAACGAATACAACTTCCAGAAGAACTTGAGATAGGTTCACCTTTACTTTTCGACTCAATACCAACTTGTCTGCCGGTTGGCCTGTCAGTCTAAAGTTGCTCGATTATTCTTGTGTTCAACTCAGAGGCCGCAATTTTAAATATATTTTAATGAAATTTGGTCCAACCACCTGTCTTAGCCCAAAGACGACCGCTTTTGCAAATGCTTCGTATTGGACTATTTTTCCGAGCATTTCTTATTTTGAGAAATTAGTCCATGAACACCTGTAACATGGTATAGGGTATTCAATGGTGCGACATGGCCAACTATAATACTCTTATATACCTTTTTTAAATATTTTTTAAAAATCCTTTTAATTTATGTAAGATTGTAAAAATCTTGAGAATTTCAAAGTTAAACATCACTACTAAACCAAATTCGTTATTAATCAATTGTATAAGTGTCGATAATTATTATACGATCAAGATTCAGAATTCAGAACTTTGTTCAAATATTTAACAGCACTAATTAACTAACGGTCCATTGCGAAAATAACGTCAATTGACAAACTGATGTGCTCTTAATTAACACAAAATAACTTTACTATTTAACAATTATGATAAGAGATTGAAAGGAAGATTCACCAAGGTTCAACCAAGGCAAGGTTACTATGTACGTATGTAATAAATGTTATTTTCTCACTTTTTTTTTTATAAATCTCAGCTAAAAAAAAAAAAAAAAAGCAGCATTCTATCAATCAATTAAAATTTTCCTAAACCACATCAAAGCTTGACTGCTACCCTTTTTGCGAAATGAATTATGTTCGAGGACAACGAACGATGTGGTGTTTGGTTTTGTCAAAGTTTTTGTTTAATCATTGCAAGCCATGCAACAACAAAGTATTCAATGAATGAAATTTTTAAAAAAGAGTTACAAAAATTTCGATTTTTTTAATTGTTTTGAATGAGTTGCATTTTACTGAAATAATATTAAAATTTCTAGCATTTCATGAAAAAAAAATCAATTATTACTTAAAAGATGAAATTCACGAGAAATATATATATATATATTTTTTTTTGTTTTCACCTGTAAAGTAAAAAGCTTTTTATAAGTTTTAATTTGTTATACCAAATTGCTTTTGGGAACAAGTTTCTGTACAGGAAGGAAATAATGCCTTAAGATGAATTGAACATTTAAACTGGAATAACAATAGCATAGCGAAGAACAATTATATTTGTTTTGAGAAGAAAAATCAAAAAAAAAAAAAAAAAAAAAAATAGAAGAAAATTGTTCCTTCATAGAACGCACAAAATATAAGATGCAAAAAATCTTTTTTATTTTAAATTTTGCTTTCCATTCTTTGCTTTGGAAATGCCTGAGAATAGCGATGATTGATTCTAAATTATTTTTCAATTCCGAATAACTTTTTGTGTCATTTTGACAAGTGCTTGACTTGGATGAGATACCTTGTTAATGCTGTAGAATTGTTTACTTGAATCGGGTTTGGACTTATGCGCACCATTTGTAATAATAGCAAATTAATTTAATGGATTAAACTGGCCTTGAAAACTACAGTCAGTACTCAATTGGATTGGATGACTATGCCTTTGACGATTACTTATTAAATTGAGTTGATTTTAAATTCCTGGTATAAGGCATCGATTTGAATTGATTTTTTTTTTTTTTTGGAGAATACACTTTAAAGCTGAAAGGCAAAAAGTTCACAATTGAAAGAGTCAGCGATATGGTTAACTCGAGAAGGAGAAGTTTTAAGTTTGAGTTTTGTGGAATTTTTATTTTGTCTATAATCAGCGATACCTATTTTTTCACATCATTGCTTTAATGGCTTTGAAGAAGTGTTTAGACTGGGGCAACAATATTTGCCCAAAAGGCAGGTATCGCCGAACTGAAATTTAATGAGGAGAAATGAAATGCTGCCGCAAATACTTGGATCAGATAGTGTAAAGGAATGTGATCGTGGTTGTGTCGGTGATTTCAAATCGACAGTAATAGATTTATAGTAAGCAAGTGTGAAGCACGACGCCGGAAACGTGCAGGAAGTAGCTTTATACTTGATTCCGATTCCAATTTTGTCTATTGTTTGCTTATACTTCTCTAAATAACTATCTGCTTAAGATCTTTTATTTGATAACAAAATAAAGCTTGAAGGCAAACACTTATGAGACGTGTTCTGGGTAAAACGTGAACGCGAATGAAAAATGTAAATTTTCCAAGAGAGCGAATTTACTTTAATACAAGAATTCTCTAATCAAGTATTAATTCGGAGATTTATATATAAATCTAAAGAAACATAATGAAAAGCATTTGAGATGCAGCTTAAGAATGCTGGTTAATTTCTTTGGTTTCTTTTTTTTTTTTCTGTTAGCTTTATTTTAAATACTTGTCTTAAATCCAAAAAAAAAATAAATAAATATTTGCAAAGACTCGATAAAGAACTGGCCTACCAGCGTACAAGTCAATATTGCTTTGGCTACAATTTTGTGGTTGTCATAAGCAAGAGATTACACATAATTAACCAATGCGAAATCCTCGATACTCTTGTGGATTATTCGCTCTAAGAAGTTGCTGAGTAAAATTAAAAATTTTGTTTTCACAAATTTGCATATGTTGTACGTTATAATGGTTTGCACAGATCAAGCAGACACCGCATCAATTTAGGAACATCAATAATGCTCGATTGGAGGGCTTTAGTGTTAATTTACTTGAGACTCTTAAAGTGCTTCCTTTGCCAGTTTGGCTAAAGGTTTATAAATCTAAGTATAGCTATGACCTATGAGTTGTTATTTTATATCGGAAATCTCTATTGTTATCTTACACCTTTATTACAGTCTATATGTTACCTGGCTTATTGCCTCAATGTCTTTTACAATAACGAAGCATAGCAAAGCTATAAATTATTTAAATAAAAGCGCGTCAAGCGCTCTAAACCTTAAGTTCAAATGATTTTATTAATAAAATGCTGAGCTTCATTCTGCTTTTGGTTTTCCTTTTAAATTTAAGATTTTGGTAAAATTTAAAATAGAGAGAGATAGAGGGGGAAAACAATGCGTCTTCAACGAGGAGGGTAACATCCTTATATACAACTACATACATACATTCGTTGATAGCGATTATAGAAATGGATATCTAAACTAAGTCAAAGTCTGGTGTCCAATGGTGTATGTGGGTAAATATTATTGAAGAAAAAGCGAAGAAGTGCACAATGAGAATAAGTATGAAAACTATTTGATTACTGGAAAAGCAAACATATAAGTTGCAAGCAAACATTTTACAATTTTATATTGTATAACTTTCCATTATTTGGCAAACAATGAAGTATACACTTGTAAACGCATTGTATACATATGCAATATGTATTAAGTATAGTTTTCCGTTTACTTGTTTTCTCTCTGTATACTTAAAAATAACAGAGCAACATTTTGATTGTTTTACTTTTGCTTATTTTTATTTTCATTTCTTCCTTTTGGGAAGAACAAGGAGAGAGAAGAAGAACTGAAATAAAAGAAAAGAAAATTTTCGTAATCGGTTTAAAATAAATTTTCAACGAATTTTGCATTATTTTCAACTTGCAAGCTTAATAAACTGTATCGTTTGAGAATAAAAAACGATCTTAAAAATTCCCTCCAAGTTTGCTCGAGTTTGGAAAACATTGCATCACAAGTTGTGTTAAATTTCAATAGAAAATATCCCCTATCGTAGCGAGCAACGAAAGTTTTTTGTATAAACCAGAGTAATTGCTTACTTAATTAGATAGACACTGTGCATATAGCGCGATTCGTATGGGCGCTTCATAACTATTTCTGTTCTTGATCAATGGATTTGAAGTTACATAATATGAGCCAAAGTTCGGCTTTCTATATTTGCAGTTCTGATATCCTGAA